TTTTTTTTTTTTTTTTTTTTTTTTTTTTTTTAAATATTCGGGAGATTTTATATACACGAATGCATTCATTTTGAATCTCTGAATGCTTTTACAATATCCGTTGTTATCAGGCAAGGTTGCTCCTGCGTATTTCTAGAGGGAAATACTGATAATGAGGAGACAGATGAAGAACCTAGAGTAACGATAAACGATTTGGACAGAGGTATAGAAAGGTTAAAGTTTAGAAAGAGGAGGTAGTTGCAAGGTATAGGACCGAAAGATGCAGTTTTTGTTATGTTTGGGACAGAGGAACTATATTTGTAAGGTATAGGACAGAGAGAGGCAGTCGGTGTAAGGATTGTGACAGAGGGAAGGAGTAGTTGTCAGGTTTGGGACAGAAGTTTTGAGAAGGGGTACGGATTGGGACAGTGGGGTGGAGTATTGGTAAGGTTTAAGATAGAGAGACAGAGTAAGAGTAAGGATTAGTACTGAAGTAAGGAGTATTGGTAAGGTTTGGGACAGAAATATGTTGGAAGGTAAGGTTAAGGACGAAAGTATGGATTGGGGATAAGGACTTTGACAGAGGTATGGAGTTGGGGTAAAAAATGGGACAGAGGAACGGGACAGTGTATTTGTAAGGTTTGGGACAGAGTGAGGGTAGTTGTAAGGTTTAGTGGAGGTATGGAGTATTAAGTAGGGGGTGCGGAGTTGGACAGAGGTATATAGGAGGGGTAAAGATTGACACAGAGTTATGGAGTATTGGTAAGATATGGGACAACGATAAGAAGTAGGTGTAAGGGTTTTGACAGAGGTATGGAGTAGGGGTAAGGTTTCGGACAGCGGTATAGATGGGGTTTAGGAGTGAGAGATGGAATAGGGAGCAGAAGGAGAGTGTAGGTTAAGATTTTGACATGGGTTTGGAGTAAGGATAAGGTTTTGGACAGCGGTATAGATGGGGTTTCGGACAGAGAGATGGAGTAGGTGGCAGAAGGAGAGGATATGTAAGGTTTTGGCATGGATATGAAGTAGGGATAAGGTTTGGGTCACAAGTGTGGAGTAGGGGTAATGCTTGGAAACTAAGTATGGGGTAGGTGTTATGTTTCGGACAGAGGGATGAATAGGGGGTAACGTTTGAGACTTTGTGATTAAATTTGGTGATTTCAATTAAATTTGTTTGAGTTGGGTACAACGATGAGGTCACTGGGACAGAACCCGACAGAAATATCCCTATCCTACACCTTTGGGCATGAAATAGTATTTGTCTCTCATTCAAACCACCAGAATAAGCCCAGAAACCATGAAATTGCGTTTGGGCTGGCCATCATTTTGAAAATATCAATCCCCCCTGAGCTTTTTAGACGAAAACGAATCAGCCAGCCAGATTAAGCATACATCATACTTGCAAATAAAATTAGCGAAGAAAAAATGAATCACATCATTTTAACGTGTACGGTAAAAAGATCGTAAAAGGTTTTAATTTCATCACGTCGCCTTTTCCACATTAGGGCATCGGAGAGTTCCAATTGCGTGACGTCACGTCATTGTTGAGCCATTGTGACGTCACGTCATGTGAAATGGGGTGTTTTCGTACACCTCTTTCTTACCCTGGACAGCTCTTTCTTCTTAAGATATCGACGTCTTCACGGAAGAAAATACAGATTTTTTTTTATTTTTTTTTATATCGTTGACAAGTTTCACTTCCTGAGTGGGGTTTCAATGGAGAATAAATACCTTTTCCTATGTAAGAAAAATAAGGAATGCAAGATTTAAGTTGTCGATAACAGAGAGAAAGAGCAAAGGTTAACGGCAAGACACCTTAGTTCTTTTTACTAATAAGCAGTAAAAAAACAAATGATATATTGAAACAATTAATTAAAAAAAAACATTTTCCCTAGGAAACGGTACAACTGACCTTCCCGAATTCCTCAAATGATGGCCCTGAAGATGAAGGACGCCGATGGTGAGCCCGGATTTTTAAAGGCGGGTCATATATTTAATAAAGATGGGAATGGCTTTATAAGTACAGCTGAGTAACGACACAAAATGACAACTTTAGGACAAGGAAAAATATATTTGGATGCGGCTGACATTGATGGCAATGGACAAGTGAATTATTAAGGTATTTTTAGCCTTTGACTTCCACGTGATGTATCTTCTTCGTTTGAAATTTCCGATGTATTATATCATCTGATGAAGCATATCATAAAGTAAAATGTAGCTATACAGACAACTGGTAACCAATATGTTTCTTGTGCCAAGAGCATTAAATGGCATTGCAGTCAATTAGAATAGATATTCATTTAAGGTATTTGCGTTTTTATAAAGGGTTTTAAATGATTTGTGAATTTTGAATGACTTTTATAGGTCTTTTATTTCTTTTTTTTTTCAGAATTCGTGAAAGTGTTGACGGCGAAATAACCCCACCTGTAATGCTGTCGATTTAAACTTACCCTATCATCATCGCCTGCTTTGTGTCCATCATCTCATTCAAATGCATCCAACCGCTTCCATCAAAACATGAAGAAAGGCGCAGCAGGCAACATTCCGCAACATATTACACACTAGACATTTAATTAAACAGTCGATGTTCCTCACGAGAGAGACTCATTAAAGAAAAAAATAATCATTAAGTGTCTTTTCATAATTTTGTTATGGACCTTTGAATACATGCTGATATTTTTTTTTTAATTTTGTTTTTAGAATATAGTGTTGGTGTAATAGTTTGGATTCTGTTAAAGAGTTAGTTTAATCAATTGTATGAGTGTGTATTTGTGTGTGTTTGTATGTAGACCAAAAGCCCAAACAAAGCAAACACAGTTGAGCATTACCAACATTTGAACTCAAATCAAAATAGATAGACCAGCTTTCTTCACGGAAGAGTAAATGGTTGCACACGTTAAAATTATGACACCATGCTAATGATGACTTGTGCAATTGCACGGTGACATTCCTGGTTCATGGGAAATTTATACTTATTTTGGTAAGGTCATCTAACGAAATCGGCAGTTGTGAATATATGGCGATGAATATCAATCATTTAAAAAATAAATGTGTTAATAAAAATGCATTGGACACGTCTTATTCCATACAGTGTCTAATGCAACAGCGGTGATTAAGTCCGGGAACAGGAAACTTTATATGTACAACATGCAGTACAATTTGTGACAGGATCATCCTTTCTTTATTATTTCGATCAACATACATACATGATGTAAAATGTGCATTGTGTTTTAATGGTTATATAAAGCATAGAAAATACAACTTCATCATCTAGTGCCAGGTCCGAGTCTGGAACTCATGATCTTCAGTATTTAATCGCCCAGCCGAGAAATATATGTAGCATTGACTTTTACACAGTAGCATTCTCTACGTAGTATGTAGCTTTGAATTGGAGATGGTCAACAGTTCGATTACCTCGACATGATTAGGATAACTAATCGTCTACTGGTGAGATGATTACCGGAATTAAAATGTATATCTATGTACATGTACACGAATTACACAGATAGTATGTATCTTACACATACAATTACGACAGTCAATTCATAGCTTAAACTTTTGGAACAACATGCACTGGTGTTAATTAAACATGGTATTTACAATTAGATATTAGAAATAAAAACTCAATTAACGAAGTTAGGCGGTGTTTTTACTTGTGCCCTGCCCTGGCATCGAACGTTCGATCTCTAATACGATATCGCCGGGAATTATCCTCAGCTATAATCTGAGGTATAACAAAATACCTGTAAGATGTTTTGTACCTGAATAATATACTGTATCTACCTACAATCACTCCCACTTATCTCGTCAATTAGAGCCTGTAATTTGTCGTGGTGATATACTGCAATGCGACATCCTATTTTACATAAACATTTTAATACTATTCCCTTTAAATATGAACACTCCGTGTACATAAAATATAACCGGGAAATAAGCTACCTGGGGAGTCGAACAGGTAGCTTTTCATTCACTTATGATACGTTCTACACTAGCGTGACGAAACTAACAACCGACTTATCCCAAGTGGATTCCACTTCACGTGTAAACAAGTCATTTTTATCACGAGACTATGGTATGTATCCACAAACTGCCTGTTTATGTTGATGTTAATGTTTCTACGTTGCTTGATAAGATGTAGTACGTTCAGTGTTAGCAGTTATACTCTGACATGATTGTTACCTAGTTATAAAGAAAACATCTAAAAATAAGCATCCATGTAACAACATACCGCACCATATCGTTACTCAGTGACTAACACGGTGAAGCATTACAAAATACCTAGACATGATACGATGGAAGCAAATTGCATACGTGTTGTTCCGTTTTATTTACCGGTAATACTTCATTTTAACTCTAAACATATTTGATTGTGTTATGTGCTTTGCAGGTAAACTTTTCCTATCAAAGGTATTCCTAGTATATCTCGAATTCATAAAGCTTCTGAAATGATAAAAAGGCAGCACTTAGGTATCTCGTTATTGAACAAGTCAGTGTCAAACTGTACGCAGAGTTGTAACTTTCGATTGGTCCCTGCACAATGCTATATCAGAAACAACAAGAGAATACCGAAATGTCAAAACAGGTTTCCCAAGGATGCAGGTTTGTGATTTGATTATGATCACCGGTGTACCTTGTGATCTTGTTGTCGCTACCCGAGTGCTCAATTTAAGACGTAAATTTTAGGATTAGACCTAGATATGCAGGGCTAATGTCATTGATGAATCAAAAGACACTTGTCTTTTCGGAACACCTAGTTGTATTCTTCTTGCAATGTTTTATTTTTAATTACGTCTATTTTCTTACATGAATGTTCATGTGTCGCATACTGGTTTTGCTGACACTTCGGTTTTCCGTTATTGTTTCTTGGAAAATATCACCGGATATAATCGAACGCTACAACTCTACATACAGTTTGACACTAACGTGTCCAATAATTAAACCGTATGAAAATATGCAGATCTGAGCAGATCCGAAATTGTTGTTCCAGATAGATCTTGTTTAGTATTTCGCTTTATTTGATTATGCGTTGTTATTTCACTTGTCAGGCAGACCAACTGACAGAGGAACAGACCGCCGGTAAGTCGTGATCTTTTTTCAGAGTCAGTACCAGTATAAGGGCAGGAGAAGACTTGCTGTGATTAAAAGATCATTAAAAGATCACTAAAAGATATTGCAGACAAACATATATGATACAAACCATTTTAATAGGTTTGAATCTGTACAGAATTCATTGGAAAATAATATTCATTTGCTGTAATTCTGAATGATTGAATTTCTTTGTTAAAATGCATAGAGTTTCCCGTGTAGTTCTGGACATGAGTAATACTGTTGTGCAGGTCAGGTGTATCGAAAAAGATCAGATGTAGAGTTTGTTTTAAGGAATACGGTGACGTTTCACAAACACATCAAATCTTTCATGCCAAAAGTTACTACCACAATAATACGTGATGATAAACTGAAATGGTTATATCAATTCAATTCAAAGAAATAGAGATTTAAATGTGTAGCCAACGTTGCTTCTGTCATGTGAACCGTTTTCGTTTTTAATTTGAAGAGTTTAAAGAGGCGTTCAGTATGTTTGACAAAGATGGGGACGGTACAATAACCACCAAAGAGTTGGGGACAGTGATGAGGTCACTAGGACAGAACCCGACAGAAGCTGATGTACAGAACATGATCAACGAGGTGGACATGGACGGTAAATGAAGTTTTAGGAGCATAAACAAAAGGAAGTTTATTTTATCATAAACAGCAACAAATAAAATCACTGGCTAGATGGAATGGTAAAATGACGTCACTATTAAAAAGTAGGGTCCAAAGTGATTAAATACATTACGAACATCAATCTTTCGAAAAAAAATAAAAAATATTTAAAGAAATATGAACGTGAGACACACACACGTGATTGCACTTATGAATTTGTCAATAAGTACAGAACCCCAAAATATTAATAACACTAAACCATGATCTGTTCCTTGGTTCCATTAATGATTCTAGGGGGCAAAAAAAGTAAAAAAAATCAAGATATGTGTCTAACGTTTAATCGAAAGAGAATGGAGTGATGTTGGTACCTGAAACCCCTTAACTATATGAATTTAAAAACTTAAATGAAGTACTTTTTCAAATTAGTAATAAGTAACATGTGTACATTTCCAATTTTGACACTTTCCTCAAAGTGATTAATGTGATCATCAATGCAATAAATTTATACTGCACCCGTCCATGAATAAAATAATTTCTCTTTTCCAATCACGACACTGCTCGTCTTAAGAGAAGTTCAAGTCAAAATATACGTACAGTAACACGTGTAGTCTTTGATTTAAGTAATTTTTCTTAGTTACTTCTTTAGCAATTTTAATTTCGTCGTAAGATCATGTTCACTATAGGGAGTTTACCTGCAATTCAAAAGCACTATAATTTCACCATATTCGGTTGCTGAAACAGGAAATTGTTGGTTCTTATAACAAATGTATACCTGTATACAATAATACTTGTTGGTCGATGTATACAGACTATTAAATGACAACTGACAAACTTCTTAGGAAAAGGTCATATTTTTATAACATTTATATTATAATAGTTACATTTGCAACTCTGCAACTTCAATTTAATGTTCATATTATGCTCAAGATTGAGTATGGATACACGTTAATGCAATCATTTTTTTATTCTAGGAAATGGCACCATTGAATTCCAAGAATTCCTCACAATGATGGCACGAAAAGCGACGGAGAACGACAGCGAAGAAGAAATCCGTGAGTCATTCCGTGTATTTGATAAAGACGGAAATGGCTTTATCAGTTCAGCCGAGTTACGACACGTTATGACAAATTTAGGAGAAAAACTAACAGAAGAGGAAGTTGATGAAATGATCCGAGAGGCTGACATTGATGGTGATGGACAAGTCAATTATGAAGGTGTGTTACTAGCCTTGAACAACAGTTTAAACGATGCCTGGTCTTAGTTTAAATTTCTTAAAATCTGATGAACAATATGATTAGGTAAAATGTAGCTTTACAAGAAAATGATAATTTTATGTATTTTTCATATCAATAAGTCACATCAACAGTCAATGTTGTATATAAATAAAACGTAAAAAAATGTTATTAACTTTTTGGTTTTCAAAGTTTGAACATTCAACTAAAGGCGATTTAAAACCTGAATTGTTAGTATAAAGAATATTTCGGTTAGCATTTCGAAGTTTTGTTGATGTGGTTTTAACTAAATTGTTATATCATGTGAAATAAAACTGAATTGTTTTTTATGTTTCCATCTAAATCTTTCAGAATTCGTGAAAATGATGACGCCGAAGTAAGCTCATTTTTGACGCTGTCTACCTTTACTCGTGATATCAGTAGCAACCTCTGTTCAGCTGGTATCATCTTCCATCTGTACAGCCCTCTGATTACATCGATCCCTGAGCTATTGTGTAAAGGGAACATTCAACATCCATTTAAAATGGATTTTCCTCATCACATTAACGACCAAGTGAATCGTTTCATGTATTTTTTTACTATTTTGGACAATTGTTTTAAAAACTATTTTCATAATAAAACATTATTACGTTTTTCGAAGTTTGTGTTTGCGTCGTGTAGTGAAGTATGTTTGAATGTAAGTTTCAAACAATACACAGTTGGTTCTTGATTCACACAATATACATTATATATCTTGATATCAAAAAACAGTCAGGCGTTTGTGTGTATAAAATGGTTAAGAGTAAATCTGTTATCAATTAGCATTCCTATGAGATATTGGTGTTTGGATGTTCAATCAATAGAACAGCTTCCTCGAAGGAACAGTCCGTCGTAGACAACGTTACCGTTACGACTATTACGTCATGGAAATTATATTGCCGGCAATCATAGTGTGATGTTTATTTATAGCTATTATTATAATGTATTTGAATGTTTAAGGTGGTGTAGTGGGTTGCCTATTTTAGGATATGTAATTAACCAAATGAACAGTTAACTATTAAACAAATTGATATGTAAATGAAAATACATTTCTCCCGACAATTTTTGATGCAAAATAGAAACAAAGTTGAATACATTTGAATAAGGCATTTTCCTAAATAATGTGGGCGAGTGTTGCGCTTGTAAGAATGAAACAAGATTGATTTAAAAGTTTTGGAAACTATATCAATCACAAAACGGTACTAAAAAAGGAAACTTTATGAACATTGCATAAACAACGTGATTTACACTACAAACCTCAGCAATGCAATTGATTTGTCATTGATGTGGAGAAGCACATGAAAGCAAAAAAACAACAACAATATTGCAAACAAATATCATATTGGTATTTTATTAAATTCGTGAAAAGAGGTAACTATGCAGTAGTTGCATACATAATCTAATATTTTACATATAAACAAGAAGTATTTATAAAAAAAAAGATAGGAGGTCGAATGCTGATAATATTACTTAACTAATAGTATAGAAGGGGTTACCCAAGTTCGCATTACTTTCATGGTCTGGGCCAGTGGCATGTTAAATGGTAAACTCAAATACATGATGTGAATCTGCAATCCAATAATGTCATAGTAGATAACAAAATCGAGGGGACGGGTGTGTGTCACCCTTCAGAACTGGGTGTATGTTTTGCCATTGTTAATTCCTTTATAGATTGTACGTCACGGTTGTGTAGATGAGAAAACTTAAACTGGAGAAACTTTATCCTGCATATATTAAATGTACACCACCTACTGAGGGGGTATAGCCTCGGGTATGTAGGGCAATCAACGAATGACATTCCGGTCCACTGATTCTACCAGGATGTTGAATCGACCTATGTATTTTCTATAAACGTTTACAGTATGTGTATAGACGTAACTGTACACGCAACAAACAGTTTCCAGACACAAATGTAGCACACTAAGAAAAGAACATGATGCTGAACGCAATTCCAGGGAATTAATAAATTACACAAGAGGCCCATGTGTCTCAATGATCACATGAATTATAATACAATTGGTAGTTGTTGTGTTAGATTTGACAGTTACAAAATAAAACTAGAAATTGTTGGCTAACAATTTGACGGGGTTTTCACCGTAAGAACTGATTTGATTCAAGACCCAAGACCTTGTAGAACTTAAAAAGAAGATTTTTTAGATTTGTTACCCAAAATGGCGAAACTGGACCTTGACGTTTTACACAAAAATGTTTCCTGAGAAAATGTTTTCTTTTGTTAGTATAAAAAACATATCCACAGATGAATTTAACATGTTCAGCCATTATTGAGTTAAAGTCATTAAGGTAAAAACGGATATGACAACATGGCGGCCATTTTGGTTTTCCAAAGAAGCCAAGACCCTAACCAAATTCGAAACACTATTTGGGGAAACTTTTATGCGATAAATAATTGGAGAAATATCTCGCAGATATTGGAGAAAAAATGATTTTAACATATTGCCGGCATTTGAAAAAGATCGAATGAAATTTTCAAAATGGCGTACAGGGCAAACGGAAAACGTTATAGAAAAACTGAAGACATACAAATTCATCGGAATAGCATACTGCAACGATTTTGAAAGAAAGATAAAGATTTCTTTTTTTAAATATGGAAAAATGAAAAAGTTGAAACCTTTGACCCAACTGCGAGGATTTTTATTTGAACTTTATTGTATTGATATGTGATGCGAAGAACATCTACAAATTATATTATTTACAATCAATCGTTTTTAGTTATGGCCATTTAAGATTTTGAGGTATGACCTCATCGCGGCCATATTGGATATTTGTCCTACTTGAAAATGTTGCAATGACACCTCTTGACCTTGGCCTACAATATACTTATAAGACTGTTTACACCTCTGCTACCAATCAAAAGATTAGGTGGTCACAAAATCAGGGAAGAAGAAGAATAATAATAAGAAGAATAACATAAACAATAGATCTTTTCACCATAAGTGAAAAGCCCTAAAATGGAGGGATATCATGAATATAGACAATGACTATGAAGGGAAATAAAGACTACCGTAAAAACAATCTTGTTCACCAATAGATGTGGTACTCGCCATGCTATATCACATCAAATCAAGACAGAAATGAAGGTCAACGACGATCCATTACTATTCGTAGAGGTTTTTGAATGTGTTAGATAGAAACATATCATAGTTCGAAAATTAAACATGGTTTTTGATCGTAAATTTTCTTTACATGTTTATTTGTATTCAAGATTTTCTGATATTTAGGGTCCACTACCATATGTACGCCTCAGAAGCAATCACAATGAAAGCTGGTTACTAACTACTGAAGTGTGGGACACGTTTCATTCAGTTGATTAATTCTAGGTTTTTGAAATGTAACGATCTTTATTGGCCACATTTACGGCGAATAATGATCTAAAACCAAAGCTTATAATCAAGAAACGGAGTTATATACAACACTGGACAAAAACATTTAGTATCTAAGAAAAGGGAATAACAACACAAAGTAACAAATGGCTATATAAGCGCAGAAATATGAAAGTAAATGTTGAAAACAAACAAACAAACACTATGATGCTTTTAATAAACATCACAATTACAGCTGGTTATTACAATGTACGAATCCACATTATTGCAAGGACCATGCCGTCATTTCAACAAAACGAAAAGAACATCAGTATACAGTACAACCTCGAGGTACCGACTCCCGTTTCATTGACACTTTTCTTGCTGCCGCACCTATATACAATTTGGTAATAGATACAGTATGTCAAAAATGAATTACACTGAACCATACAGGTGTTTCGTTATTGTAGGATTCTGTCACGAAGGTCTGTAGTCATGGTGCCTGATAATGTATAAAGTCAACAAAGATAATGAGTTCATGGTACAATTTAATAACCTAAGAATAATACATATAATCAATCCCACACATACCCACTCACTCACGGTAAATACAAATATAGTTTAGCAAATATGTAGAATGACAGAAGACCTAGGCAAGTTAACATTGGTCAATAATGTTCTTAATTATAAACTGTAGAGTTAATTCTCCACATCATCTGCAATGTCCATCCACTTGGTAAGGTAAAGTTCAGTAGGTAAAACAGCCCTGTACTATGGTACTGTTCAACCAACGAAAGTTCTCTCCACGTTACTCCCTAGTAGTACTGTTCACTTCATAATGTTCATGTACCCCTCGGTGGGTTAATTCACCGTTAAATACAGTATAATTATTACAGTTAAATATATATACCCAGTATTACCTTACTGATATATACATGGACACATATTACTTCCATAAATCAGTTCATGATAGACATCGGACTATTATACACCAACTGTGGTACACACACCACATCCGCCACATCACTTCCGCTACCCCGTGACCTCGAAAGGATTCCACCACACAACAGAATCCCACACGTGACCTTCACCTCACGGCACTAACTATGCCACATCATCATGTCACATATTTGGGCGACACTAAACTCTAGACGCCAACACTGCATGCCCATATCTCTATATAGACTTATGGAAGACGCCAAGCCAGCCCTGCCCTCACCAATGTCGAGTACTAGGCCATTTACAAAACCCCTGCATCTACAGCTATAGAAAGATTAACCCCGCTCCGGGACCAACAACGAGTCTGGGGTCCACATACCCTCCACCACCTGCAGCCTGCCTCGCAAATGTGCTGACAACACACGTGCACCCCTCGCTTTCCGCTTTTGCACACGACAAGTTTTCTCTCCTAACAAAAGAGCTCCACAAGGGACTTAACTAGAAAAGTACTGATCCCAATTTTTAAGGTGTCAAACCACTAACAACAACATCACAGACTCAATAGCGACAGTAAATGTAATGTATAAACCAATTTAGAGTGGAGCTAATTTGCAATCCTCAATATAATTACTACAAATGCGAAGGCAGGAAGCACATATTTAAATATTTAATAATTCGATCTAGAGAGCCAGACAACTTTTCAACGTATCAACTTATCGAACGTTATCAAATGGACATGTCATCGTCCAGTTTGGACTCAAAGTCAAACGAATGAAAATGCAAGTCCTATGTGTTCGTGAAAAGTTTTAAATGCAGTGACGGATAGAGGTACCTATTAAAGTCCCTATGTTTTCCATTAGATATGTATGGAGTACTACGAAATGTACGGATACTGTACCAAGGTACCTGTGTAAGGCTTTGTATTTTGTATAACATTCCAATACTAGCAAAAACAAACATGGATTGATTATATGTTTACCTGTAGAAGTGATTGTTTGTATTCATCATTCAGTGTCACTTATTTGATTATGTATGGATTAGTGATATTTCCTTCGTGTTCTATATATATTGACGTAGTGAAGGAGTGTTATTAGTCTGTTCTTGTTTTCTTTATGTATACAATTAAGGTAATTTATTACAACGGTATTAGTATGGTACATATATGTCATTGTTGCTAATATAGTGTCAAAGTATATGTAGTTTGTTTGTGTACTTATGATAATATACATCTGGTTATGTAGTGCAAAGCTATAGTAAGTTTGTGTATTTGTTATACTTTTATCCTGCTGTTATAATTGCCGTAATATTAAAGTATAGTTAGTTTGTTTAAGTATTTATGATATTAAATTCTAGTTGTTATTATTGCTGCAGTGTTGTACAATGAAGCATGATTAGTTTGTGATATTTATGTCCATTGTGTATATGGTATGCTAATACATTTCGCTATGTATATTTTTATTGGAGATAATATTGATGTTTGATCTCCGATTTATATATATATGTATATGAATTTTAATTTGTATCGTTTATTTCTAAGATGTTCATCCCGGAAGAACGTTTGATAAGAGTGAGATGTGAATTATTTTGTACAATAAATTGATCCTGAATAGCAATATTATGCTAATGAGAAATAAGATTATTTCATTAAATCTTCATGTGCTACTGTAAATAACGGGGATTGGATAAGTATAAGTATGACTTTATCTCAAAGAATCTAATATTGATTAACCATATCAAACTTGTTTATGGTCGTTTGAATTACGGTTCACTGACAAAAAATAATTTTAGTACAAGTACATTTAAATACTATAAACAGATTAATTTTAAATTAAAGCTAAGGTTGTCATTTGCTAAAAATAAAAATTCTGCTGTCTACCATGTACATCTACAAGTATGATCTGGAAAGTAATTTCATATGAGTCGATGCGTCACGAACGCGGTATCTTCCTCGGTGTCACACTGACAGGTACATCCCATTGGCTGTGTGTATTTGAGGTTTAACCACCAAATATGTTGTCTAACATGTTAGCAGCGAGGGAAGACAAGGTAGATAGTATATAACACATCTGTATATATTACCTGTACCTGTGTCACATATGTGTAGGCGGGCGTGACAGCAGTGTTTACCTATGACTAGCTAGGTATACCTCCACTTTCTTTTGAGGTCGTTGCCAGGGGAATTTGTCGCATTGCGCCGTCCGCTAAAGGAGGTTGATTTACAAGCTTCACAATGAGAAGTAATAAACCCCTGCACCGTGTATCTCACAATCAGTTAGTATTATACCCTTAACTTGAGACGCATATAGAACGTCTCTGTCCAAACAAGCTTTCATTGTTCGAACTATTTAGTTGTGTAATAAAGCCCTTTGTTGTACAAATATTTAGATTTATGAAACAATATACAATTTACATATGATTCGTATGACAGTTTTTTACCTGCTAGTGTGACAGTAATTAGCTATTGGCGCATCAACTTAATATAACGTATTATGTATGAAATAAAAGTATTAACATAAGTGTAGATACACTATCGAATTACAAAGTAAACACATCTATACACAGGTGGGGGTATCCTGTATTGAATATTTTATTATTCATTGAACCCATCGGCAATGAACTTGAAACATGACCCATACCCGAACGCCCAACAATCGACGTTTTCATTGAAAGCTATACCGCGGGTTCAGTCTCGTTTTGCCTCTGGTAACGCAAACATTAGTAGGCTTTAAAAGTGAAGGCGTTCACTTTGCGCGGGACAGTTCGATAGTAAGGACATAATTATTAACCAGAGACATGGTAAGTGGGGGAAGTTCAGAAGTTATGCACGTTTATAAAATTCTGATATTTTTATAATTCGTTAGTTACTGCTTTAGCCTCTGAAAGTATAGTACGCTTTGCAACATTGATTAATATAAATATAATTAAGTAACTATTACATGTATACTTTTACTTTAACTAGAATTTAAGAAAATTATTAATGTTATATTGCTTAAACCACAACTTGAAAATTAAAGTGTGTATCTGCTTTTACATTGAATAAAATGAAATATGTATAACATGGGCGTGGCTCTATAGCTTAAACATCCAAATATGTTCAATAAGCTATTAAGATGTTATGATATACTGTGTACATTCCTCTGTAGCATGTTGCCTGGTTAGATATTGACGTATATTGATAATTATGATACATATAGACATATATATATATATATATGTGTCGTTTTCACTGTAGTTTTAAACGTGTTAGCCACGACTAAGTGATACCTCGGGCCGGTTTGACTGAGTAATAGACATGTGTTAGTTACAAATGCGGCCTACTTAAGGTCAGTTTGGCTGTAGTTATATACTGGGGTAAGTCACAAATGTGTCCTATCTAAGGTCAGTGTGGCTGTAGTTATATACTGGCGTAAGTCACAAATGTGTCCTATCTAAGGTCAGTGTGGCTGTAGTTATATACTGGCGTAAGTCACAAATGTGTCCTATCTAAGGTCGGTTTGGCTGTAGTTATAGAGTGATAGTTAATTGCTTTAGATCTATGTGATGGCTTGTGTCTATTGACTAGTTGGACAGGTGTTAGATAGATGATACCTTGGGCCGGTTTGGCTGTATTATAGACAAATAGTAGCTACAGTTTATAAGGGATGATTAGTGTTACATTGATTGGAATTATAGGCAAGTGTTCAGTATAGATTTGTGATATCGAAAGTCATTTCGGCAGTAGCGATATACTGGGTTTAGCTATGCATGTAGGCGATACATAAGAATTGTTTTGAATATAATTATAGACATGTGCTACATAACGCTATATATTTGAGATACCTTAAGTAAGATTGACTGTAGTTATAGACATCTTTTTTTATCAATACATTATACTTAAGGTCGGGTTGACTCTGTAGACATGTGTTAAATATAGATCTGAGATATGGCGGGCCTATTTTGACTCGGATTATTGAAAGGTGCCAGACAGGTGATCCTCTCAGTCAGTCTGTCTGTAGTTAAAGCCAGGTGTTAGCTATACAGTAGGTGAGACTTTTACTTCAAGTAAGATAGCTTGTAGTTTTAAAGTGTTTTCACTGGAGCTGTAGTGGGCCTAGTTTCTCAAAGGTAAGATAACTTAAACTAGTGGTTAGTGAAAATTCAAATTGTTGTTAATGAGAAGTAAGGGCTTGTTCCTATTTGAATTTTTCGATAAGCACTGGTTACGTCTACCCACCTTTCATTAATCGGGTTCCTGGTCACTGTGATGTGGAGAAAACAGGGTAAACAAACAAGTGTCCTACTTCAGTCCCCTGTTGCTCAAAGCTTAGTTAGAGTAAGCCAGTCGGATTAATGCTATACATTCATACATTTGATAGGTTCTAGTAGCATACTTTAAACTCTCAATATATTATTTTTATACAGGCAGATCAGCTTACAGAAGAACAAATCGCAGGTGAGTACCACCGATCAAATAGTTTTCCATAATAGTGTATTGTTAGATTGAAATATTAACAAATAAATTGTTAGTAGTCTTTTCAAAATTAGGTACATCTGACACCTTAAACTTTGTGATATTCATGTGAATTTAAAATAAAATCAAGCTGAAAAAGATACTTGACAAATCATTTGAATTGTTTGAGGAGTAAACTACAATTATAGAAATAAATCAACACATTATAGTAAAACCGTAACCCCATGTGACATTAAATACAATGGTGACAGATGATAAAAGATAGCAAAATCATAGGGAAGGCAACATAGATATCTTTCATGAGAAATAAACAGCAGTGTTTTCATGTTTTTGTTACAAGTGTGAAATAGCTGTGTACTCATGACATTGCTTAAAAAATACACACACAAAAAATTGAAGAACTGTTTAACTATATACATCCCACATTTCTATTGCGTCGAATATGTTACATTGTCTTTTCAATTACCGTGTGGAAAGTTTTGTAAGTACGCTAAATCGTTGTTATGTTTTTTGCAGCTTGAGGTCGAATAATTGCTAAGATTAATGTCATGCATACATTGTAAGATAACACCTTCTATTTGATGTATAACGAGGGACTTACAATAGGAAGCATGAATACGTTACACGTCGCCATTTACTACCGAATGGAAGATAATAGTTCATATGTATATACAACCTAATTCGCATTTAATAAAACCTGTAAAAACATCCAAGCATTTGATCAGTTTTGCATGGAAAAAACGACGTACGCTACGAATCCAAAAACGGACTAAAACGGCTCTGTTGAAAACGTTAAATTATAGATAGATACATGTACGTAGCCTGTTATTTGATAAATCACTGTCGAGAGTGTTAACACCAACCAGCTCATGGAAGGGTTTGTTGGAACAGCTACATAAAACCTTTCATATCAGACGTAAAGGTCGAGGTGTTTTCTCATGCGTGTTATTAAATGTATTTACTAGTAAACCTCCCATTCATCTTCTTCATATTTTCACCCGTCCAATTTAAGATATTTCCATTCCTATTTTATTCATGCATTTTATAGAATTCAAAGAGGCGTTCAGCCTGTTCGACAAAGATGGCGACGGTACCGTGACAACCAAAGAGTTGGGGACAGTGATGAGGTCACTAGGACAGAACCCGACAGAAGCTGAGCTACAGGACATGATCAACGAGGTAGACGCGGATGGTAAGTTTAAAAAAACCTTTTTTTATTCCCAAACGGATCCCATTGACATTTAAACACACACACACACACACATGCACATACATTCAAGATATAACAAAAAAGTGTAATCTTTTAAACAAATTAAATCATGCCCTACAGCCAGTTAAAAACCAACGATTGACACAGTAGTGTTTGAGATCATGTACAATATCCCATTATAGCATTATAAACATATATTGCTTTATCGCAAATCTTCTGAAACAGACTATAGGCTGTGACTATAAATAAATAGTGCGTTATCGTAAAACTTCTGAAACAGACTATGCATTTTGACTACCACATACAAACCCTTCTGTATATTACATTTGCCTATATGAAGGTGTTTCCTGTGGCTATCGTGAACATTTGAACTGGAACTTTGTTTATTTGATCAGACCCATCTTGTTTAATCCAAACCTGCTTAAACCTGATATTTTGTTATCGGACACATCTTCAATGCAAGTTAATGAAGAAATTACAGAACATTAAGAAACTTTAGTGATTAACCTTAAGTTATTTATAGTTATTGATTAGTGATATTATATGTATCAAAATACCTGATTTTCTGAACTTCCTTCTTAAAATAGTGTGCCAATATCACCGTTCACCACCGATGTGTCCAAAATGGACGAAATGAAAAACAAAATGGTTTTTATTATGTGGATATCAGCATCATAATTATTATATTAGATTGCTTCGTTACAAAACACTTCATATTGCTAGTTTCTCTTGTACTTTAAACTTCTATTTCGTACTTTTGTTTTACAGGAAACGGCACAATTGACTTCCCAGAATTCCTCACAATGATGGCACGGAAAATGAAGGATACTGACAGTGAAGAAGAAATCCGTGAGGCATTCCGTGTATTTGATAAAGACGGTAATGGCTTTATCAGTGCAGCCGAGTTACGACACGTAATGACAAATTTAGGAGAAAAGCTAACAGATGAGGAAGTTGATGAAATGATCCGAGAGGCTGACATTGATGGGGGTGGACAAGTCAATTATGAAGGTATGTTACATGCTTTGATCAACTAAATAATTGATGTTTGATATCTATCATACGTTTATTTATTTTTATTCAGAGATTAACAATACCAAGTGGTATGGTCAAACAATCTTATCTCTTGTGGCTTTCGTGAAACTTTGTAATAGAACTTTGTTACCTTAATCTCAGGTCCATCTGGGTTAATCCGACTCGTGTCAATTAATTCCAGACTCGTGTCTTAAATTAGTTGACAGTAGCAGTAATATAAGATATCTACTTCTTTAAAAAATGCATTATTGATGGTATACGTTAGGCCAATGACAACTTTAAATGCATTCATTCGATTGTATAAAAAGATAAAAATTACACATGCGTTTTCGAAAGATAGTTTTGAATCATACATGGGTAGCACAGAAGACTCTTCATGGAAATTAAAAACTTAAACATATTTATATGAAGTTCGTTTGATTTGATTTTTTAATTTAATATTTCAATTTACTTCTCTTTTCGCAGAATTCGTGAAAATGATGACGTCAAAGTAGACAGAAACATTTACGTAATATCATCGTCGCCAGTTTTATTGCCATCATCTTCTCTCAGTTCATCCCATAGCTTCGAGCAAGCCAAAAAATAAGCAAACGTCGCCGAAGGAAGCTTCCAGCAACAATTTCCTTAGGGGTCCTTGAATTCGACAGTGGATCTTCATCAGGAAATATCTCCAAACTAGACAATTGATGTGCGATTAGTATTCTTTTATAGAATAATATTTCTATATTGAACATTATTATTTTTTATATATTAAATGATGTTAATTTTTTTTCATATTTTTGTGTTTGTGTTATTTTTTGGGATTATTTTGAAAAAATACATAAAACTATAAGATTTTGTAGATAAACGGGTAAATTGTTCTTATGAAAGTCTATATATCTATATAAACTTTATTTATTTTACAACAATTATCAAACAAGTTATTTCAACTTTATTGAATCGAGCCATGTATGACACCCGTGATCCACACATGCCATTCAAAGCGCTAGTTTTGGCCGATTCCCGTTTCGAAAATGTTAACTTTGGTGTTCCTGATGCTATTGTAAACGATAAAGTCGTGTCCGGTTCCCGTATTTCCAATCATCTAGATTTTGTTCAAAATAATTTATCTGTTTCATCATACTCGTTATTTGTAATTTGTTTAGGAATTAACAATGTACCAGATGATATCACAAATGTTAGTTCATTATACTGTTACATCACTACAGAATTTACGCAGAATTAAAAAATATCCCTCCCATTCAACTCTTCACCACACAGAGGTTACCTGTGCTCACCAACACAGATGCTCATTAACACTGAGTATATACACGAATTAAGTAAAGAGCACACTTGTATACACTTAGCCCTCCAAACCAACCTGCGTATTCATCGAAGCAATGGCAGATTTTCCAGATTTGGTATGATGGGCTTCATCCTTCGCAAAGCCTTAAGTTGAACTGGGTTAGAAAGGTTTCACGAGTCATCGCCCGATTTTTATAAATGTTTTTGTGTGTTTGACTTTTAGGATGTGTAATAATGTGTATAATGTTAATGTTAAAAGCCCCCCGGCCAACATTGCTCCAACACAGATGCGATTTTGTTGACCACGCCCCCCCCCCCCCCCCCCCCCCCCTCCGGCCAACATAAATCTTGCATTACAGGGGAAGATTTGAAAGCCTCGGCTTACTCTTGCTCTTGCCACACATTATTCCAAACGGATAGGTTGAGCTACATGTTGGAAGCCCCCCCCCCCCCCCCCCCCCCCCGCCAATAGAAATCCTATAGCCTACCAATATGCATATACTTGACACTGATTTGTTATTCTACCTATTTACATTATTGAAATTTGAATTTATGGTGACCATGTTTTTGTACCATGTTTTGATATGCACAAATTAACACCGACCAAGGTGGTTCAGGAATCTGACTCGGCTGACTCTGTTAATTCCGATTCGGACAGAAATGTCAGTAGTGGCCGGTTTGATGATGAATTCTGAGAACACAACCAATTACCTGACAATGAATACAAATCAAGTTTTTCAAGCAAATCATTTGATGACATTCCATTGATTTCGTCTCCAATACATAACATTTCATTTCCATTTTATCCAACTGGTCCTAAATCAAATTTTGCAGGATGTGATGTTAGTAATTTTGAAAATGATTTTGAACATTTTGAGTCAGATTTCGATATCGCTAGAAATATCACATGTGAGCAAATTTCGGGGTACCCCCATGAATATACCAATAAATTTCTACAGGAGTTCACAGCCTATGCTGTTTTTCTAAAATTAGATGATCACAATCGGAAAATAGCTGCTTTCCATCTTCACCTCAAAATGCCTGCACTGACATGGTTCAATTCTCTGACAGACCGGGATGATTGGGACAGCATTTTGCATCTATTTAAACAGCGTTTTGTTATTGGTGACTCGAATAGTTCAGCTATGCTACTTGAGTCTGATAACAAGTTTTCCAAACTTGAGCTGCTTCCTGGTCAACCAATTGAGGACTTTCATTGTCAAATAGTTGAGAAAGGGGAGATAATCGGGAAGTCAAGTTTTGAAGTTTTGGCAAAGTTCATCAGTGGTCTTCCCAACAAACTGGCTTTATTTGTTTGTGCCGGTTCACCACAGGACATTACTGCTGCCTTGAACTAGGCAAAGATGGGCGAGACCTGTGGATATCGGGACCACAGAGAGGGTGTAGTGTCGCCTCCCACTCTTCCTCCAACATTTCCTCCAGCCCAAGTTGCTTCCATGAATGCAAGACCAAACAATGGTTCTGGTTTTCAACAACTCCAACAGCAGGTTCAAATGTTGACAGATGTGGTTACAAAATTAGCGATCACATCCAACCAGGCTGTTCCTGGCACTATTGCAGGGGCGACCGTCGAAATTGTTGCTGGGATGTTATTAATCCCAACACATTATGTCAGCTTTGCTCACAAAATGGCCACACAGCCTTGTCATGTAAGTAATTACAGGGAATCTTCTCAATCCCAGGGAACCAAGGGCACAGTTCTAGGGGACAGAACAATTATGTCTAATTACAAGTGCCTTTAACTTGGAGGACAATACTGACGATAGTTGTGACAGTACTTCAGAAGATCAGCAGGATGTGAATACCAGTGACTCAATGACTCCTTCAGCAAAATTTCTGTTTATTCCTGTCACTATTCACACACAAAAGATTGCTGCTGTTGTTGACAGTGGTAGCACAACTAATGTAATTTCACAGGATTTATATCATCAGATTCCAATTGGTTTTAAATCTCCCATTTCCACAGAGGAATGCGCAAACTGTATCTGTTTTGGGAACAACGACAATCACTATTCAAATGCCACAGGGTTCTCATCATCTTTCTGTTTACATCTTGTCTCCTACTACTCATCCACTCATTATTGGCACTCAGTTTCAAGCAGAACATAAGATTGTCCTTGATTTTGGACCCTTTTCGTATGGACTTCATGATGAAAAGGTTCGATGTCCAAAGCGGAAAACTATTCAACCTGGTACAGAAATGATATCGTGGGGCAAGCTTCCAGTTGGTATTCTTTTTGGCCTACATGGAATCTGTTCCAATGCAGCATCAATGGTGAAGAAACATCTCCTTGTAGCGAAGTCTCTCGTTACTGTCACTGAAAACAGAATGGTTCCTCTTCGCATCATCAATCCATCATCAGCACCTGTTGTTATACCAAAGGGTAAGGTTGTAGCTCATTTTCAAACAATGAGTCAGGACTTTACCTTTGTACCAGTCAGGGACAAGATTGTAAGGAATTTGTATCAGATTGGCAATCATTTCAGGCGAATTTTTAGCTTCTGGACACTTAACAGGAAAAAGAGAAGGCAGAGCTCAGGTCATTGTCTTTACAGGTTCAGAGACTTATTTGTTACGAATGCCAATCCATCGTTGGGGTTTACAGATCAGTTCCAACATAAAATCATAGTGAAGCCTGATGTGAAACCGAAGTACCACAGACCATATCGCCTTCAACCAGACAAGCGAGAAGTCGGAAATCCCAATTTCGAGTCCATTAGTGTTGGTCACTAAGCAGTCGCGAAACAAAGTTCCAGATCAGCCCATCACAAGGAAGTCTAGTCTATCCCAATTCAGATTTTGTGTAGATTTCCGTTAATTGAACAGCCAGACTCAGCATTTTCCGTATGATATTCCGAATGTACAGGAACTCACAGAATCCTTTTCGTCCAAAGTATCAAATTATCTAACCTCCATAGACCTCAGTTATGGGTTCTTCCAGATGCAGACTTATCCAGCTAGTTCACGACATACTGCATTTAACACATGCTTTGGAACATATAAGTTTCTCCGCCTACCAAATGGTTTGAGTTCATCACCTGGAACTTTCCAACTATTGATGGATCGGATACTACGCGGCTTGACATTGAAAATTTGCTTGTTTTATTTGGACGATGTCCTCATTGCATCCAGTTCCTTTCAGGAACATCATGTCGACATTGAAACTGTTTTCACCCGCATTGAGGCTGCTTGGTTGAAGCAACTACAAAGTGTTCCTTTGCCCAGAGTTCATATATTTTCCTTGGTCATTACATCTCGAAAGATGGAATTTCACCCCCTCCTGAAAGATTTGCTGTCATTTAGCATCTTCAACCTGCATCCAACCTCAAAGATCTTCGACGTCTTCTGGGGACGTTTAACTGGTTCAGAAAGTATGTTGTTCCTTGTTACAGCACTATCGTTGAACCTTTGGTCAAGCTGTCAAAGAAAGGGGTAATATTCAAATGGACGGCATCTCAGCAAAGTGCATTCGATAATTTGAAATCTGCATTGGCCAATTCTGACGCTCTTGCTTTTCCAGATTAAAGCCTGCAATTTCGATTGGCAGTTGATACATCGTCACATGGTGGGGTATATGCTCTATCAGACCCACACATCGAATGGCCAGGATATCAGACGTGTTGTACGGTTTGGTTCAAAGTCACTGAACAGTTGGCAAAAGTCCTATCGACCAACGAAGCTAGAGTTGTTGGGGATGGACACCCCCATTTTGAATTGTTCCATGTACCTCAAGGGAAACAAGTTCACAGTGGAATGTGATCATCAAGCCTTGAAGCCTCTATATCAGAACAAACTTAAAGGGGCTATCTATGAAAGATGGCTTACAATCCTCCAGCAGTTCAGTTTTGAAGTTGCCTATAAGCCAGCTGCACAAATGCAAGTTCCAGATGCTTTAAGCCCATATCCTGTTGCAGAAACTTGTGTAAGTCCCGCAGATGGTGACCCATTTTCCCCGTATACTGAAGAAAAGGCTGATGTTGGTGACATCAGTTTACCTACCGGTCAATCTCTTGCAGAATTCTCGAGTCCAAAACAGTGCCAAGATCAGGTCCTCCAGAAAATATTCAAGTCGTTCCTACTTCAGTACTGGATATTGATCAAGGAAATGATGCTGATTCCGATGACATTGTTAATGTGAGGATAGATGGTAAACATTGGTTACGCAGAAAGGTCTTGCAACCGAGGAAGGTTTTGGAGACAAGATGTCAACCGAACAGTGTTGTTGTTCAGGATTTCCCGCCTTCCGTACTTTATAGTGACATCATGGAAAAATCGTCCAGTGATAAGCGCATGTTGCGTGAAGAACGTCGTTTAGGTGTAGCTTCTCCAGGTGACAACAGTTCACCTGATCTTCCGTTATCTCTCCATGATCAGAACATCATTCAGTCAGATACCGCTTGTGACATTTCGTCGACTTCTAGTGAACAAACAGTAATGCACAATATATCTATCAGTACTTAGACATTGGTA